GGGGGTGCAGCGAGCAGCAGCTAGTTTTTATCCTATCATGCAGCTTTGACATTTTGCAATACAGATGTACCTTGAGTTGGTGTCGTGGCAGTTGGTCTCTTTCACTGAAACCGAGCTGAGTGATCGAGTCGTCGTGTGTTTTAAAAAAAAAAAGACAAAAAAATAGGTAGAAAGTAGGGCTGGTCGATTATGGCAAAAATCATAATCTCGATTTTTTGGGTCAATAATTTTAAATGCGATTATTCATTCACTTTGAAAACATCCATTTATTGGAGAAAAAAGTGTGTTGATTACCCTGAACTTTAAGTATAATTCAACTGAAAAACCCACTAAAAAAAAAAGTAATTAAAAAAAATAAATAATAATAATTAAAAAATATTCGTTTTATTTCGATTACGTTGTTTTCGTAATCGTTGCAAGCCATAATCGTAATCGCGATTAAAATACGATTAATTGAGCAGCCCTATAGAAAGTGTTTTTACCAAAATGCATTTTGTCGGTGTAGCTTGAGCCTGAGATTTACGTGTGTGTGCCCTAATGAATGGATGTTTAACGTGTGTGTTTAAGGGTTCGAGGCTCGCTGTAGGTTAACAGCAGTGCTTATACAAACACAAAGCCAAAAAAAAAGGGATGAAAAAAGGAAAGGAGAGGAGGAGGAGGAGGAGGAGCTGCGCTTTGTACCTGAATCTCCACCTGGCGCAGAACAAAAAAAAAGCATGTTTCATCATGGATTCAGGTTTCTCCGATTGAAAGGCGATACAGGGAGGCTTTGCATGATGTGAGTCTGAGCTGTGACTATCTTCTTCTCAACACTAACCAAGAGTCAGCTGACCTGTAGCGTGTGTCCATCCTTCAGAGGAGGCGTGATCCTCTGTTCAATGTTTACCTTATTGCCTAAAGAACAAGCACATGTGACAATAGTTATTATAGCAACAAAAAGGGTTTTGTTTTTTCCTCGGTATTGCATCCGGTTTATATTTAGGATATAGATTCATGCAGTGTTTTTTCGGCGGAGGAGAGAGAGGAGCTTGCGTATTGATCGTGTGTATTTGTGTGACAGACCTCCCCTCGTGGTTGCTATGCTGGTTGCTATGCTGTATTGCTAGAACATGTAGAACGTGGTGCGATGGAGGCAGCAAACCCCCCCTCCCCTCGCAGTGCACACACACACACACACACACACACACACACACACACACACACACACACACACACAGAGAATGACCCTCACTGTCCTTCACTGTGATAGTGAAATTAAACACAGGCTGCGTTCCAAATCACATACTTTATATATTTAGTGCATACTAAATACTGCCATATGTTTGCACTGTTGCACGCAGTACGCATAACAATCGCACAATTACTACTTTGTCCTTGCATGACTCCTCAACCCTCTTGCATATGTATCTGCTGCAAAGGATTGTGGGTCAGAAAATCTTGCTGTAAAAATGCAACTAGATGCAGAAGCTCATCCTGGTGTTTTTTGCAGCGGTGGAAAGTACATTTACTCGAGTATTTAACATTTTATGCTATTTTATACTTTTACTCCACTACATATTTTTAATGCACTACTTTTATTTAACACTCACAGGTATTTTTTAGATATAAAAACAGATAATATGCTTTGATTATATTATGCAGTACTGTAAGACGACACAGTATTTTACAGATGTCTTCATTTCTGGCTCCAGTACATGCATTTCGTTGAATATTCAGAATATCTTACGGTCATTGTATTCTTTAAGTACAATTAGCTGTAACTTGTTATGGAGTAAAATCAATAAAAAATATCCAAGTACTTCTTCCACCGCTGCATTTGACATAGTATGTGTTCTGTCATAGTAAAAAGTATGGTCGTATGGTTATTGGAACGCAGCGAGTGTCGATAAGGATCAATTAAGCGCGTGTTGTGCACTGCGACGCTGCCTCCTGTAGTGGAGTCATCTGTGATGAAGTTGTCATAGTTTACACAGGGTGTTGTCAGTTGAGATGCCTTAAGTATTTAACAATCATAATTTATTACTAACTGTAGATATCGTGGGTATGTATTTAATTTTATATAGTTTTTTGTTTTGGGAAGATGGGTGGGTGTGGGGCGACTGAATCATAATTTATTTATTTAGAAATAACACAAAAATACTATGAAAAAAAACTATTACCTCATTTTTGCATCGTTTTAAATGGGAATGCTTTGCATGCAGTTGTACTTTTCGGGACACAAAAAAAAAAAAAGAAAGCTGTTTGATCTCCACAAGCTGGCTGTGCGATGTTTACTGTCTGAGTCTCTCTCTCTCTCTCTCTCTCTCTCTCTCTCTCTCTCTCTCTCTCTCTCTCTCTCTCTCTCTCTCTCTCTCGTGGTGCTGTGGATCTTGGTTACATTCCATTCAATGCAATTTCTCCGATGCCCCATGCTGTGATGTAGTGGACAAACTGCAATGAAATGATTTTTTTTTTTTTTTTTTTTTTTTGCAGTCGTTTTAAATATGGGAACCCTCTCACTGGCAAAAAAAAATAAGATAATTTAATATTATCACTAAGAAAACTCAACTGGCTTCTTTTTATTTAACTTCCGCTCTGCTTCTCACAATGCACTATGGTTCTTAAAAACGATCATCTGTGAAGCATGTTGATTTTCCGTTTGTAGACATAACAAGTGCCTCGCTTTTAGATGTTTCCATACCACTGAAACCATTAATAACAATCAATCCATGAAGCCACCATGCCTTATTGGTTGCATTATTAATTCAAAGTGGTGAAGGAGCAACATTAGACAGTTTCTACTAAAGCCATTTTCCTCAAAACTAACTGTCCAAACTAGCTGCTGGTTTTTAAAAGTGGAGCGTTATTTATTGGAGGCATGTTTCACTGTGGGCTTTACATGTTGTTTTTATTTTACCGTCCATCTCTCTCTCAGACTCTATCCTCCGGGCAAGGATTTAAAAGCACAACCTTTTTCTAAAAATGCATGTTTTCTCAGGTTTCAATATAGTCTCAATGGTTTAATAGTATATGGTGAAAATATATACAAAGAATATAACAAAAACAAAAGAGAAAATATCCCAAAAAGTGCCAGTGAAAGGGCTGCCGCCATCTTGTATGAAACTCTGCTGTTTAGCTGTGACTGCGCAATGTTTTTTCAATATAGGATATTTTATCTGAACATAGAACTATTTATCATTAATATTAAAGCAATAGCGCATTAATGGAGATGAGTGTGTTGATGAAGAAGTGGATGAGCATATTACGTTAGATTCACATGTGGTGGAATTTTGTACTTTATTTATTATTCGTACTAATAATAACGATAATGATTTCAAGAGTTGCATTGCTAAACCCAAACTGTTCTGTTTTTTAATTTTATTTCATGGCTTGTATATTATCCTTTTGTATGTGCTCTTTTTGTAATAAATTGGATAAAATTGACTTGTTTTTATGTCTTATTTTTGTTATGATGTGGTCTCAGCTTTCCCCCGTGATAATGTCCAGGTGTATATCAGTATGTAGTGTCTCTACTTTAAAGAGTCCTCTCCTGCTGATGTTCAGGTGTATATCAGTATGTAGTGTCTCTACTTTAAAGAGTCCTCTCCTGCTGATGTTCAGGTGTGTATCAGTATGTAGTGTCTCTACTTCAAAGAGTCCTCTCCTGCTGATGTTCAGGTGTATATCAGTATGTAGTGTCTCTCTACTTTAAAGAGTCATGTTCAGGTGTATATCAGTATGTAGTGTCTCTACTTTAAAGAGTCCTCTCCTGCTGA